AGCAAAAGGTCGTCCATGTAATGCACACATCTTATCTTGGGAAAGGATTTCCGTAGGGGGGCCAGTAGGGAATCAAGGTAAATCTGACACATAGTGGGACTGTTGGCCATACCTTGGGGCAGCGTTATCCACTCGTATCTGAGATCAGGGCTTTCTTGGTTAATGGTGGGTAAAGTAAAGGCGAACCTATGAGTGTCCTCTGGATGCAGGGGGATTGAGAAGAAACAGTCTCTAAGATCTATAACATAAACTGGCCAGGATTGAGGGATGGCTGAGAGAGCTGGCAGCCCCCTCTGGACCGCCCCCAGGGACTGCATCTGCGCGTTGACCGCCCTTAGATCATGGAGCAGCCTCCATTTGCCAGACTTTTTCTTAATTATAAAAATGGGGGTGTTCCATGGGGAGGTTGACGGCTTAATGTGTCCTAATCTAAGTTGTGTACTGACTATTTCTGACAAGGCTAATAGCTTCTCCTTAGGCAGGGGCCACTGAGGTACCCAAACCGGATCATTTGACCTCCAGGTGATTTTGATCGAAGTGGGTAGGAGAGCTTCTTCAGCGGCCCCTAAGAAAAACCCAGCCCTTGCCTACCTTTTTTGTTCTCTACTGGTATTGGGGATGTCCGACCCTGTAGGGCATTGCCCAAGCCTTTGCCGGGGGTATATCCCTGGTTCCTGAGTATATCCTTAGCCTGGGGGGAGCAGTTTGACGTAAGTGTGACATCCATCTGAGTGAGGATGTCCCTTCCCCATAGAGACACTGGCAACTGCAACACAAATGGTTGGAAATGGCCCTGATGACCCTCCTCATCGCACCAGAACAGGGTTGAAGCACTAACCTGAGGAGCTGACACCGTCCCCAGGCCCTGCAGCGTGTTATCTGCAGTGTTGGTGGGCCAGTTGGAGGGCCAATCCTTTCTAGAGATAATGGAACGGTCAGCTCCTGTGTCTAGGAGCCCTGTTATATTCTTGCCATTGACCTTAAGTGAGAGCATGGGCCTTTTATCAAGTATTATATGGAGTCCCTCGAAGACTTCCCCTGAGGAACCGAAACCTTGACTTTCTCTAATTTTCTGCTTTGAGGGGAATCTCTTGTGGAGACTGGGGAGCAGCAAGAGCTGCGCTATCTTGTCTCCTTTATTGATTACCATAGTACCCACAAGAGATTGAACCATAATTTTAATGTGTCCTGTGTAGTCTGAGTCTATGACCCCCGGGACTACTATGAGACCCCGAAGGGCCGTGGAGGATCTCCCGATCACCAGACCCACGGAATTTTCGGGTAACGGTCCCTTAAAGGTGGTTTCAACCACTCGAACACCCATATCAGGCACTAATATAAGTCTGGAGGCGACACTGAGGTCCACACCTGCTGACCCAGGGGTGGCCCTTGTTGAAGGCTGCCATCCTGAGCTGTCCTGTCTCTGGGGCGGGGGCCCGCCTGTGAAGGGGGCCCCCTCTGGCCGTTTTTTGGCCCTCTAGCATCTCGTCCACAAATACAGTTGCCCTGAGCATCAAAGACCGACCTACACTCCTCAGCTTTGTGTGATCCCCTCTTGCATCGCCCACAAACATATGGTTCTTCATTCCTAGGGCGAGGCCTAGCATCTGTATTGTTTGGGCAATGACATTTAATGTGTCCTGGCTCCCCGCAGGCAAAACACCCTTTAGCCTTACATTCCCCTTCTAACCCGCGAGGTCCCCTCTGCTGTACAGCCGCGGCCAGGAGAGCAGCCACTCCCGAGTTGGAGAGCGGCCCCCCTATCTCTCTACATATCCTAATCCAGGCGTTGAGGTCCTTGTTCTTATGAGGAGCTATCGCTGCCTTGCACTCCTTTGTACATTGCTCAAAAATCAGCTGCCTTACCAGCGGTCGAGCCACTCCCGGATCAGAAAATATCTTATCGGCAGCATCTTGCATTCGGGCCACAAAGTCAACAAATGGCTCTGTGGTACCCTGAATTATTTTTGAAAGACACAAGGAGGCTGTTCCGGCACCACTTACCTGCTTCCAGGCGCGGAGCCCTATGGCGTTGATTTGTTCATAGACAGCGCCGGGAAACTGAGTCTGATCATCAGCGTGCCGACCTTCTCCCATAAGCATTTCCTTGTTCCACCCCCGGTTTCCCCGACTGGCGTTTCTCTCAGCCTGCTCTGCAGAGAACTCTGCGTACCAGGCTCGCCAATCCAGGTAACTACCCGAGGGCAGACACGCCTTTGCCAGCTGAATCCAGTCCGCGGGGGTGAGGGGCCCAGAAGACAGGTTCTCCAGCATGGCAATGGTGTAAGGCGCAGTCGGCCCAAAGATTGTAACTGCATTTTTAAGTTCTCTAATCTGCTTTATCTCAAAAGGCTCCCATGCATTACGTCCCTGGCCCATAGCTACTTGTACAGGAAATATCCCGTAGGGGCCACTATCTATCCCAGGTGGTGGATGTACCTCATGAGACAAACGTCCCCCCTGCCAAAGCCGCCTGTAAAAATACCGACCCGCCGGCGGCGGAGCATAAGACGGCGGCCATGATTGGGCGGAAAATGGGGGCCCGTGCATCACTTCCTGTTCTGGCGAAGGGGAAGGGAGCTCCCGGGCGGCCGCCTCGCGGTTAGGGATCGCCTCCGGGAACAGCCCCCAAGGTGGGGCGGAAGGCTTCGCCTCCCTCTCGCGCTGGGGAGCGCTCAGGAGCTCTCTACTCCTCCGCAGACCAAGTTGAGCGGAGCGCAATTCACGGCGCAACGCTGGGAAAGAACCCTGCGACTCCTTATCGAGCGACTTAGGCTCCTGACAGCTGGTCTCTTTGGCCTCCTTGCCATTCAACTTTCCCTCGTCCTCGGAGTCAGACGACTCCGAGGCTAGAGCCCCGTCCTTCTCCTTAGCATCTTTGTTCCCCTTGACGGGCCCCTCTCGGGAGCTCCCCGACTGGGCCTGCTCAAATACCCTGCGTACTTTTGTAAGCTCTTGAGAGCTTTCTCCACAACCACCCTTGCTCTTAGTGTTGCTACCTAGCATGTTTCCCATCTTTTAATATGTTACTCACCGCGTGAGGCCCAAGGAATCCGCCACTTACGCGTGAGCCTGAGGGGAGTCTAAAAGCCCTGTAGGTGCGCGCCACCCAGAGCCCAGGCTTATCCCCAACTCACCTGTCTCGCAGCTCTGTACTGGAGCGTTGTCCGCTGTCACGTCTCGGGGGTGATCAGTCCCCGTGCGGGCCTCCAAATGTCGATGTCGCTCCTGGCCGGCAGGAAGGACACACGACAAAGTCTGGCAGTGGACAACCTTTTCTTTTATTTTCCTTCTCCGTACAGCCTGCCCTGGGATCGCTCCCAGCCGAAGCCTCCTTTGGTCCGCTCCCCGCGGCTCCTTCTGGGCTTCTACTTCCGGGCTTCTTCTTCCCCCCCAGGGGTGGCACCAGTATATATACGGATACAGTGTCCAATCATGTTAAAGTAAGCAAGGCAAGCTGATTGGCTAACATCATCAGTTGCCAGGCAGACTATATTGTTGAGCGGGTTGCTTACGCGGTAAGCAGGAAACTAACGTGCTCGATGGGAGGGGTAATCTACCTCAGGCTTTACTCTTTACTACAGGCCTCACGTCCGCCAAGTGAGGCGACCGGGCTCGGGGCTGCGGCTCCCAACACAGATTGTAAACTGGGAGATGGAGGGTAGATTACAGAGCAGGAAACTTCCTCCCAGGAGCAAAAGCGCAGGTCAGCTTTTCTGTATACTGACGTTTTATAGAATTAAAGACTGTCCAAGCTGGAGGGAGTTTGGAAGATTCTCTTTATTCTGACTGCCATCTGCTGCTAGAATCTTCTTGGTATGAGAGGCAGAAATCCTGCATGCCCTGGGCTCTGAAGGGGGTGGCTCTGAGCCTGGACAGGTTCCTAAGGATGCTGGCAACATTGCCTTCTGGAGCTGCACAAGCAGGCTGGGTTTCGCTCCTCAAGCTCTTGCCTGGATCATGTGTTTTGTGCCCTGATCAAGTCCCACCATAAGGAAGTGCAATTCTGAGCTCTGCCCAGACCTGCTTGGGGGCACTGCAGGGGAGCTGTGCCCCAGACCTGGGTTGGGGGCAGGTGCGAGGGGGTTGTGAGGCCCAGTTTTCCAACCTTGGGGGGTGAGGAGCAGTGGAGAGACAAGCTTTTGGGAAGAATGCAAGTGTGGAACAAGGATTTGGAAGCAAGAAGTGCAGCATCCACAATGAAGATTCTCGTAAATTAGGGCAGCAAGAGAGATGATCATTTCTCAAGCTCAGAGACGTGGGGCCAGCAGCCACTTGGTGGTCATCAGGAGACTCCATGCAGGGCCCAGGTTGTAGCTAACTGGCACTGCAAGTTTAGGACAGGTCAGGATGGTGCTTTAAAAGACCTAGCAGCAGTGACGCTTTTCTCAGCCATGTTTGTTGGAGGTGAAGCAGGTGCCATGGTGACTCCTCACATGTGGGAACAAAGGCACAGACAACAAGCCAGTCAAGGTGTATGGCACAGAAATGAGCTGGGGACAGAGTGGGAGGAAAGGCATCCATGATGGAAAGAAGGGAGGAGGATGAGCAAATGCTGAGAACCTGGATCTCCTCCATACTGGAACACACACAGACCTACACAGAATTAGTTCAAGACTGCAAGCATTGTAACGGTCTGCAAATGTTCACAGCTCTTCCACTAATTCTGCTAGATTTCTGCTGATTTTCCAGGGTCACTGCTAACTCACATCAGTGTGGATGCAAAGCATAGCCCTTTTACAGTTGTTCCACAGATGTGCAAAGGCATGTGCGCATATACAGGCATTCCATTGTGCATGCATGCACACACTCAAATTCTAACCAAGATCTCAGCATTTCTGAGCACTTGCTCAAGCTGTGGGGCTTTGCTGAGATTTTGAAATTTCACAGACTTTCACAGTCCATGTCTGCCCACAGGATTTCCACTGGAGCTTCAGGCAGGAAGCAGGACGTGGGTCCATCTGCATGGGTCCATCTGGGCTTCCTTTTGTGTTTTCCAGGTTGTTTGGCTCTGACGGGGCCTGGCTACGTGAAGGGCATTGAGGGGACCACTCTGCATGTGCACTGTCGGTATGATGTGGGGTACAAAGGGTATAAGAAATACTGGTGCCGGGGAGAGCACGACATAGGATGTAAAAATATTGTGGGGACCAAAGGAGGAGAAACAGTAGAGCGGAATGGCCATGTGTCCATCAGAGACCATGCAGATGACCTCACCATGACAGTGACCATGGAGGATCTCCAAGAACATGATGCTGGAACTTACTGGTGCAAAATTCAGACAATGTGGATCTGGGACGAATTGTCCCGTGATGTGGCGGAGATGGTGAAGGTGAATGTTATCCTAGGTAAGAACTCCCACGGCTCCAGCAGCAGAACTTGTGGGTCACGACTGGCCACAGGGACGAGGGAGGTTCTGTAGAGAAACATGCCTCTGGTCTTGTCTTCAGTCTTAGGGGTGTTAGGAGGAGGCCAGGGAGTGGGCAGGAAGAGAGGGGTCTGATCCCTCAGCCTGTGTAGGCTGGAGTTGTGGATGTAGGTTCCACCAATAGCCTGACACCTGCTGTTCTTGAGGGAAGCCAAGGAACAACTTGTCAACCTCGACAGTGCTGGGTTGAAGTAGCCTGAATCGTCCTCCTGGGTGTGCAGTACCCCTCTCATGATCTCTGGCAGGATCTCAGCTGTGGGCTGAATTATCTTCCTCCACCATCCCTCTCTGGGTCTCCTTGTCAGGTGGGAGACCCATGAGAAAACTTCACCGTTTCCCAGGCAGTGTCAGAGTGAGATGGAGAGAAAGCTCTGGAGCTTACTATCGGTGACTCATGGCCAGTTATGCTAAGGGATCCTGTGGTCCCTGAGGAGCTCTGCTGAGGAGGTGGCCTGAGTCTGGCTTCAGACGTTCATCCCTGAGAGGCTGATTCCATGCAGTATCAGATCAAATAGATGCTTAGCACACTAGGGCAGAGCAGCAGGCTGATATGTAACCTTGTGCCAACAGCAACAACTCCCGTGGTGTCCACGCTGCTACCCACGACTCACACTTTCAGGCAGAACGTCAGCATCGAGGTGTCCACCCTCTACACACGGTGAGGGTCCAGGGCTTGGAGACTGAGGGAGGGAATCTGAAGCCTGTGATCCCCTAGGTAAGGATGGGTGTGGTTCTTCCAGACACAATATGTCTGGAACACCCTGCTGTTGGCTGTTTTTTTTTTCCTTTTTTCCTTTTCTCCAACTCTGGTCTCAACATTTTCTAAGGCGGCACATGGTGCTGAGTAAGGGTGGCTGTGGGGACCCAGGCTGGTGGCTGGAGGCTGCGTGCCATGAATGCACAGCCCTTCATCCCATCCCCAATGCTCTCCTCTCCTCTCCATCCAATCCTGGACTCAAGGTCCTGGGCCTAGTCCCTTTCAAAAGTCTTTGCTCGCTGGGGATCTTGCTGTAGGAGCTGTTTGTGAGGTTCTGGGGGTCGGGATAGGCTCTTGACTGAAGTTTGGATCTATCCTCATTCCTCATTAAAACACACCCAGAAAGGGCTGTGAGGCTTCTGATGGAACCTGAGGGGAAGGAAATGAACCGACAAGGACTTCAGAGTGGTTTCAAGAAGTCAGTGGCTGGAAAAGACAGAGTGGATGGCTCTGGTGCATATTCCTAAAAGCGAGGGCCATTGAGAACCCTTGTGTTTCCGCCCCATCTCCTCTCTGTTCCCATGGCCACTGTTGTCAGAGGAAAGAAGAGTGACAGGGCCACAGAAAGGGGCTGTTCTGGGTCCTTTCCCAGTTTGACTCTGCTATTCGGGCTGTAGAGCCAGGGATGAGGGAGAGGTCTTGGACCCTCTCTTTGAGGAGAAAACTCATTTTCTGACCCTATGTATTCCACAGGTCTCCGCTCACTGGTCTCCACTTGCTGCTCCTGGTCTTCCTGAAGCTGCCCGTGTTTCTGAGCATACTCTGTGCTGTCTTCTGGGTGAACAGGTCTCAGAAGGCAGCCGGGAAGAGAGGGAGCCAGCCTGTCCAGGAGCCCTGCGGTGCACTGCCCGAGGAGTGCCCTGTGCCTGGGTTAGCCCTTCAGACTGGACCTGAGGAATATTTGGTGCTGGAGAGTCTGACAAGGAAACAGCAGTGGCTGGGTTCTGGAGGGGCTTCTTGCTCCTGTGCCTCAAAAGAGGGTCCTGGGCCCTAGAAGACTCTCCTTTGGTGTCCTTGGCGTGAAAAAGGGAATAAAACTCGCTGGCCCAGGCTTGGGAGTCCTTTCTCCTCCCTGGGCTCCATGACTCTCTGCCCTTATGCCCTCTCTTCTCAGGAAAAAAGACCTCTGAAAAATAAAAAGTAATCATATGCTCACCAGCCCGGGCCATTGCTCTCTCCTAAACATAAGAGCCTCTGAAGTCAGTATCTTCTGGGAGCAGTACTCAGCTCCTTCCCTGTGTCAGACTAAGGTGTTGGGAGCCCGGAGGGAACCTTGGAAGTTTGACCCTTCTCAAACTTTTATTTTGCAGCAATTAAGAGCTTAGTGTTGTGAATACAGTACGCAGGGCCCTTTGAGTGTATTCTCCAGCTTCCCCCAGGGTGACGTGCCATGTAACATGTGCGATTTTAAACTAGGGAGTGGGCATTGATACCATCCTATAACTAGACTGTAGACTATCAGGGTTGAATTTTAAATGTCCTCTAAAAGCTCGAATGCTGAAGGCTTGGTTCAGAGATGGGCACTCTGGGAGGTGACTGGATCATGAAGGGTCTGACTCAGCAGCTGAGTCCATTTATGGCTTCCTGGCTTCAGGGGTTTGGGGAGAGCGGCTGGTTAGGAAAGTGAACTCACTTGCTGCTTCTCCCTTGCCATGAGATGAGTGGCTTCCCTTGGTCTCAGGTCAAAAGCACCCTGGCCAAGTGACCATGGACTGAAACTTCTGAAAAGCGAGCCAGAGTAAACCCTCCCTCTTTCAACTTCTTTCTCCCAGGCATTTTGTCACAGTAAATGGAAGATTTAACTAACACACAGATTTCTTTCAGTTTTTGTACATCTTCACTTCTGTGTGTACGTTTGTGCAGAGCTCTGTGCAATTCCAGTAGAAATCAGAGCTGTGCATTCGGCACAAGGATCTCCCCTTCTGCCGTTGGACTCTGCACCTCTCTCACCCACTTCCTGTCTCCTGGAAACCAGTCCTACTCTGTTCTCCATGTCCAGTTTTGCCATTTTGAGATATTATGAAAACGGCAGCCTGCGGTATATACAATATTTTGAGATTGGCTCTTTTCACTAAGCCTTTGAGATCCACACAGTAAGGGGTTGCATTTACTAACATTAATTCCTCTTTACTGCTGAGTAACGTTCCATTGTTTGAATGTACAATATTTTTTAAACTATTTGCCTGTTGAAGAGTATTTCAATTTTTCCCTCAGCTCATATCATTATGAATAAAATCATTATGAACATTCATGCATAGACTTTTTGGGGGCACACGAACATTTTTATTTTCCTGGGATTTATGCCAGTACAATTGCTGGGTCATATACTGTATGTGTTTAGTTTCATCAGAAGCTGCCAAACTATTTCTGTGGTGGCTGTGGTCTTTTATTCCCATCAGCAATGCAGGAGAGATTAATTTTCTTTGCATTTTTGCTAGCATTTAGTATTATTGTTAGTATTATTTTTTAATTTCAGATGTTCTGATAGATGTCTGATGATAGCCCAGCATGGTTTTAACTGGACTTTCTCTAGTGGCTGATGATATTGGACGTCTTTTAGCACACTTATTTTGTAATGGATGGATATCCTTAGGTAGTTGAGTTTTTACTTGCTACTGAGTTTTGACACTGTTTATATTTTACAGATACCAATCATTTGTCAGTATTTTATTCCATCTGTGGCTTGTCCTGTCATCCTTCTCATAGGATTTTTCACAGTGCAAAAATTTGTAGTTTTGATGAAATACAATTTTTTATTTTTTACTTTACTGATTGCGATTTTGGTGTTGTGTTTAAGAGCTCTTCGCCTAACCTCAGATGCCTGGTATTTATTCCTGTTTATTTTTCTAAAAGTTTCATAGGTTTTATGTTTTCTGTTTAAATTCATGAATCATGATCTTGTTTGAATTACTCATTCTATATGGTATGTGGTTTAGTTCAAGATTTGTCTTAGTTAGGAATCTGCTTTTTTGGACCCAAGGATGTTCAATTGTTTCAACAATGTTAGAAAAGACTATGCTTCCTTTATTTTATTGTTTTTGGTTCTTTGTCAAAAATCAGTTGGGTGCATTTGTGCTGGAAGATGTGTGAAGTTTAGTGGAACGCAGGCAGAGGTGAGGTCTCAGTGGAGGAATTCTGAACCAAGGGCAGAGGTGCTAGGATGTTCGCAGTGAAGTTTCTTTATGCGCAGATAAAACTCCATTAAAAATAATGCAATAAAAGAAAGTATGCCTGTAAATCCATGTATGTTTGTGACCCCTAAATAAGGGATGGGAATTTCAGAGCTGGGTGTTTATTTTTGCCTGGGACCATATGGTGTTCCCAGCAGGCATGGGGATTGACCTTCTAAGGGACACAGATGGGCCTGCAGGGACAGGTTGGGGGCCAGCCCCTCTGCCTGACACTCAGGGGGCAGGTCCAACTCTGCTCTCTGCTTAGTTACTGGAGACCAGGTGGCATCATATCTTTAGATCTTGTTATTTTTATATATTATACAGAGTCTCTGGATAAAGATTCTTCCATGCGACAGTTTAAAATCATGGCTGCAAATTCCTTGATGCTCTTCCCATTGAGCTTTGGGGTCTGTGTCTTCTCCCCTTGAGTCTGATTCGACTGAGACTGCTCCAGCCAGTAGATGACAGCAGTGTTTCTCAATCTCTTTCTAGCAGCATACTCCTTAGAAGCCTGGGTAGGTATTTTCCCCTTAAAATCTGCCCTCATGAATTTTTCTTTTTTTCTTTTTTTTTTTTTTAATTTTTATTTAAGGAGAAAAGAAAAGAAAGAAAAAAAAACAGTGAAGGGGTACAAGTTATACAGATTTACAGAATAAAAAAATGCGCAGTAGGAAATCACTAGTTAATGGATTACATATTGCCATCTTAGAAATAATTGTTCAAGTCACAAAATTAAAGCTTGTAGAGTGGACATTCCACCAATGATACTGCAAACAGTTCTGTTCAATGATCCAATAAAACTCTGTGATATCATTTTCTATCTTATACTTTTAAATATACATGCAGTTATATAGTTTAGAGCACTTTCTTTTCCTCTCTTTTGTACAGTGACTATTACACATTTTGGGTTTCATTGCTCCCACAGTTCTTGTTGCTTTTTTGGAAGAGAGTAAAACCAAATGTGACATAACAGAACAGAATCGGTCAAGTCAAAAGGGTGGACATAATAGATAATATAAAAACATAATACAAGGTGATCAACCATGGTTACCCTAATGCCTCCCGCTATTTCTATTAGAATTGCCTATATCATTAGTTGTAATACAATTGAACAAAACCGTAAAGAATAAAACCGACAAAACCAAAACATTGGAGACATTGTAGGTCTTCAAAAGTAGACAAAAGTCAACGAGAATGGGCGTTATAATGAATCTCATTATCTTCTCAGCTGATGCCTAAACTTTCGAACCTGATACTATCCAGCAAAACAGAATATAGGAACCTTAGTCAAAAACAAGATGGTGAGAGTAATACAGGGCTTCAAATCGAGATAATAGAAAGTCAAAGTGGGTTACTATATTATATCCTGCTATATTTTTCCCTGTAATTAAATGGATAAAAATAAAAAAGTAAATAATGGAGTGGAGATTGAGAAAAAAAGAGGGCATAACAGCGAAACAGGGCAGATCAAAACATAACCATTTAAGCAGAATAGTGTTTCACCACCAGCTAATCCTGACCCAAAAATAGTTACCATATTGACTCCCTCCCTGAAGTCCTTGAGTACAACTTCATATACTGTAGCATTAAGTATATCAAAACAATGTAAATCCATTTAAGAGAATGACAGCATTATAGAGTATTTAGAATCGACTAACAGAAAATGAACAATGGTCTCTGTATAATCTCCTTGTCTTTAACAGGTTTTTTCTTATACTATCGTACATAGTAAAATCCAATAAGATACAACCTGTTTAGACCATTGGAGACAGAAGAACAAAAGCTAGATGAGACTTCAAAACAAGATGGTACTAAATCAGCATTACCTATTAAGATGTCATTTTCTCCAAAAAAAGCTGTTCCTATCATCCAATCTTCTCTGTCTCATTTCTGTTGAGCTCTTTTTCTGTCAGTAGCTGTCAGTTTGTCTTCTTCATTTTGTTCTCTGCTCCATTCGTTGTGGCCTCCCCGCCCCTATTTCTGGGTTCTTTGTATTTTTCTTTTTTTAGAATATCCTGCAATACTTTCTGTAGGGTTGAATTGGTGGTTGCAAATTCCCCCAGTTCCTCTTTATCTTGGAAGCACCTCGTTTTTCCATCAATTTCCAGGGACAGTTGTGCAGGATATCTCAATCTTGGCTGTAGATTATTATCTTTCAAAGCTTGAATTATTTCTCCCCATGCTCTTCGTGATTTGATGGTTTGTGAAGAGAAATCTGCTGTAATTTTGATGGGTCTTCCCTTGTAAGTGATCTGTTTCTTGTCTCTTACAGCTTTTAATATTCTGTTCTTGTATTGAATTTCTGGAATTTTTATTATTATATGCCTGGGTGTTTCTCTGTTAGGGTTGTAGGTAGCTGGGGTCCTGTATGCCTCATACATTTGAGTATCTTTACCTTTTGCTAAATTAGGAAAATTCTCCTGGATTATTTCTGTGAGTAGCTTTTGTAGTTCACTTGTTTGTGTCCCTACTTCTTCTTTTATGTTCTTAATCCTTAAGTTATGGCTCCTCTTATCATCTTCTTGTCTTTGTATTATTGCTGTGTGTTTCTTTGTTATTTTTAAGAAGTTTTTCATTTCATTCTCCCATGTTTCAAGTCTGCCCTCCAATTCAGATAGTCTGTCCTTAGTTTCTTTCAAGCTGTTATGCCAGTCTTGGGTAGAGTTCTTGATTTCTTGATAGTCCCTTTGCACCTGCTTCACATACTCAATGCTTTCTCTGTTTTCTCCATCAAGCAATTCTCCCCTCTTTTTCTGTTCTTCCACTCCACTATCTGCTTTTTCCTGGGTGGTGCTTAGCATTTCTCTAACTATTCTGCATACTTCTAGCTTCAGGTCATTGATAACTTCATTCCTGAATTGGTCTATGAGGCTCTCTAAATGGCGCTTAATGTATATTGGTACAGTGTCCACTATTGCCTGATTCTCAGGATTGGGGGTCGAGGAGCCTTTTTTGTTGCTTCCCTTCCCCATATTTTCTGTTCCT